TTCTCATAGTAGTTTTGGAAAATTTGTGCTTTCTTAGCGAAAACCCTGGCCGCTCAGAGTGTTAAAAAAGTTGATGCTTCAAAGGGTGTCCCAAAAAGTTTTACGCTGCTGCCACGTGCTTTTGCCGATACTGAAAGACTGCTCTGAGGATGGATCAGTGAAAAGCAAATGCAAGGCGACACAATTAACGAAAACATAATTTGTGACGAGACAGAACTAATTTTTGATAACCTCATTAAGAAGAACCGGTATCATCAACGACGGAAGAAGGAGTGTTCAAGGCAAGCTGAGGCTGGTACGAAAAATTTAAGAAAAGAACCGGCATCCATAGCGATGTGGGGCACGTAATTGCAGCAACTCGGATATAAAGGCAGACAAAAACTTCATCGGCATATTCAAGAAGCTTGGGAATAATTAGAATTCTTTTTAATTAAGTCTTTAATTGTAATGAGACGGTTCTTTTCTAAAAAAGAAACCCAAAGCTAACTTATTGTATGTTACAGCAGAGGAGAGGGCAGGCTAGGCCACAAACCAATGAAACTTCGTCTCACGCTCTTGTTTTGTGTAAATGCAAGTGATTTGAAAATTAAACCGCTATTCGTTTACTCTTCGGAGAATCCATGAGTCTTTCAAGAGTTTAAAGTCCAGAACAGCAGGCTAAATGTCATGTGCAGGTCTAACAACACGGCTTGGTCGACACGTTTTTACAGACTGGGTCAATGAAATGTTTGGTCTGACAGTAAAAATTATTGCTTGAGATGGATTTGCCACTCCGTGCCTTGCTTGTTATAGACAACTCCCCTGCACATCTTCCAGGCCTAGAAGATGATGTCCTTGAAGAATTTAAATTTATCGAGATCCATTTCCTGCCTCCCAACACCACTCATTTACTGAAGCAGTCCATGGACCAGCAGGTCATTTCAAATTTTAAAAAGCTGTACACGGAAGCTCTGTTCAAGCGTTATTTTGTGGTAACTCACTCTCACTCTCAGAAATTTGAAAACACTACTTTCACATTGGTGTCTGCCTGAAGATGATCAACGAGGTATGGAATGATGTCACCAAAAGAAATTTTATTTTTGAGTAAGAAGCTTTGGTTGGACAGCTGACTGCTCCATCAAAGAGTTTGAGCAAGTACTTGGAGCCTGCAATCGGCGAGATTGTGTCTTTGGCTCGGAATATGCTATTAGAGAAATGGAGAGCAAAGACATTGATGAGTTAGTGGAAGAACATCGCCAGGAATTGACCACCGAAGAGCTTATTGATTTGCATTCTGTGTCACAGCAAGAAGTTGTAATAACAACGTCAGTAAAGTAACAACCGATAACAACTTCAACAAAACAACAACATTCCAAATAAAATAAGAGGGATAGTGAATGCATGGTAAATTGTCGCCTCATAAGTTGAGAAGCATTTCTTTAATAAGGTAGTAGTTATGCACGCGACAAATTTATTTAACGAAAATACGTCTAATTTCTGCCAAATTTTGAAGTGTAGGCGAAAGCAAATGTCTTTACACAACTTTCTTGTGAAAAAGGGATGTATTATAAACACTAAATTGCATTATTATAAATTTTCAGTCGAAAGGGGCTTTGTTCCTGAGGGACTATTGTTTCGGTTTCGCGATTTTGCGTTGAATCACTGTGAATGCCCGTTTCACTTTTCAAACTGTTGCCACCAAATATTATCGTCCTGTATTATATTTGAAGAAATTAAATAATGAAGAATCTGCATTATTTAATTTCTTTCTTAAATTATTTAATTTCTTTCTTAAAGTCATCGAATTTTAAATGATATAATCCTCGTACGAAGATGGCCATGTGGAAGCCCAAATTTGAAATTTGGAATTTGTTTATTATCCATTTCATATTTTGTAAAACTTTAATGAACTTGTGTTTAACAAACCAAGGATTTCAAAACAAGAAATGACAACGTTGTGCAGAAAAAAAATTATCTCCAGCGTGTGAGACTGTGTATCGGAAATTCTAAAGATATGCTCAATTTAAATTTATTTTGCAATATTGCTCTTAAACTGAATTTTATGGTTTAAGTGCGACGAACATGATAGTTAGTAAATAAAGGTAACATACAAACACACGCCCCTTTGTACATAATTTTAAATCTTTTCTTTTATTTTTCTTTCTTCATTTATTTACTTTGAATGGAAAGCATTATAGTATTTGATATCGGAACCTAGAAGAAAAATTCGTTTTACTGAACGAGTGTGTAGCATTACAAGTAAGATTCGGAAAGCAATCAAGCCTGTTAAGCGAGGTTCCACTGTTAAAAAAAAAACACAACATTTTAAACACTATTTCGTATTAATTCAGAAGACAAACAACAAAAATCAGCGTTATATTTACAAAATTTCCACAGGACTAGTTTCGATGGTTTTACTGAACCACCATCCTCAGCTGCAAAACCGCAAATGAAATGTTGTTTGTCTTCTGAATTAGTATTTATTCGGCGTGTTATTGTGTCTTAACTATTTCATATTATGTAAAATTTTAACGAATTTTTTATTAGCAAACTGAACGATTTCAAAGTAAGCAGTGGCAACACTGTACAGAATAAAAACTTTTTTTATATCTCCAGCGCACGAGACTGTCCATCGGAAATTCTAAAGCTATGCTGTTTTTAAACAGTTTTAGTCCAAATGTTGTCGAAACGTATATTTGCGTGTAAATGAAGAAAATGCTCCTTTAAACGTAATATACCCTCATGTCCATAAATTAAGGATAATGCGAAATTAGGCAAAGGAAGAGTTAGAAACAAAACAAATTTGACTTATTTGTAAAGCTTATTCATTAAACAAAAGGTAAAGAGCAAAAAAGATGCTATATGTTTGATATTATTAAAAAAATTAGCGATTTTTTCTCCCTGGAGCAAATTAAAAAAAAAAAAAAAAAAAAAAAAAAAAAAACTATTTACAAAAAACCAATATTACATGGTTGGTATGATTGTTAATACATTGTATGTCTCCCAGACGATGCAATACAGTCCGTAAAACGCCTAGGCATGCTGAGTATCAAATCATGGATCTGATCTTGGGGGGGATATTACACCACTCAAAAAGCAATGCTCTCCGAAGTTCCGGTAGACATGTAGGAGGAGGTTGACGGGCTGCAACTCGTCGGCCAAGCATGTCCCACACGTGCTCTACTGGATTCAAGTCCGGTGAGAATGCTGGCCAGTCCATACGGGTGATATCCTCCGATTGAAGGCATTCGCTTACGATGTTTGCACGGTGAGGACGGGCGTTGTCATCCATAAACACAAATTGTGCGCCCATGGCGCCCCGAAACAAACGTACATGTTGTTCCAGAATGACGTCCCGATAGATTTGGCTTGTCATGGTTCCAATTTGAACATGCAGGTCAGTTCTGGAACCCAGAATAATTCCACCCCCAAACGAGCACTCCTGCACCACCGTAACGGTGTCGTTCAATGATGTTTTCTTGGTGGTAACGGGTACCTGGAGCTCTCCATATGAAAGTCCGGCGAGAATCAGACTGCAAGCTAAACCTGGACTCGTCGGAAAACATCACACAAGCCCACTGTTGCGGTGTCCACAATGCATGCTCTCTACTCCAGGCTAACCGCAGGCGACAGTGAGTTGCAGTAAGTGGAACGCATCTGACAGGTCTACGAGCATATAGACCAATCTGCCCTAAGCGTCTGTACACGGTCTGCCTTGAAATTGTCGTACCAGTGGCTGAAGAGAGCTGACGAGACAGGTCTGAGGCTGTGCTCCGCCTGTTTCTTTTGGCAGTAACTGCCAAATACCGGTCCTCATTCGGCGTTGTAACTCTGGGGCGACCTGTGCTGTAACGTCTACTCACATTACCATCATCTTGGAAACGTTGCCAAAGCCTGGAGATGACACTCTGGGCAATTCCAAGTTCGTCTGATACTTCCAGTTGGGTACGCCCACATTCCAGATTCTACCACGTAATTCTACCACGTAAAAAATCATCCAAATGCGTCCTTTGTGTCATAACTATTCGGTTATTTCACTGAAATGCTTATAAAGCGCCTGCGAACAATTTTACTTCTTTGCCTGTATTCCTTATATATCACTCTCTTACACTCTCGTCATTGTGACGTACCATCGGTGTCATCTGGTTATATCCTGAAATTTGCATATGATTCTTGAAGATGTGTGTAGTGATTTTACAGGTGGTAGATTTATTTTAGAGTTCGTTTTCCGCGTGACTCCAAATTATCCTTAATTTATGGACATGAGTGTAAAATCTGAAAGGTTTCAGATCTCTTTTCCCCAATTTTAATATGTGAATATAGCTTTAGCCAAAACAGATACATAGCCACGATTGGTAGCGGAAGTTGACTAAAGAGCTACAATTTGAAGTTTGAATAAAATATAATGATTGGTAGAATGATGATATGGGTACGAGTACTACTTTCCGGGATGATTTAGTTCAAATCTGGCGGTAGAGTTAAGTAAAAAGAAAGTTCAGATTTAAGATACTTCCTCATACAAAACGATTGACTTTTAAAAATTCGATGTAAATAACTATTTGGTTTCAAAACTTAGCAAAACAAAAAGTCTGTTTATTTAACAAATTCGCGTCGATACTTTTCTGATAAAATTTAGGAATTGATGGATATGAAAACGACACTTTTAAGAATTAAATTAAGGAGCAACTTTTTGGCAGAATAAGACGTATTTTTGATATATGTAGTTTATTATTTATGAAATTTTAATGAGATAATTCCGCAATAAAAGGAGAGGAAGACTGGCCTTGTGTGTTTGCATTAGCTATCCATAAGACACGTGATCTATGAGGTCATCGGAATGTATTTCGTTAAATTTAACAAACGCTTTCTATAGTTCTGTTACTTAGCCGTGCGTGCTGAACGTGCTGTTAAATAATAATTTCTAAGATTTTATTTTTACGAGGCTTGTTAATGTATGTGCACATATGCGTGAATTGCCTTTTATTGCAAGTTTTAAAACTTCGCGATCGCGAACCAAAAACTTTATTTTAAAATTTCTTTGAACTGAATTTTAGCGGACATAATGAATTCGGTAACCACGACAGAAGCATCAGTGTTTGAATACTCAAGCCTATAAATCGTGTTGATGTTGTAAACCATCGCAGTAAAATAAAAAGTAAGTGTGTTTAACTTGTTTTATAATACTTGAGTTTTCATATTTTTGTTTTTCCTTCTAGCAAAATTATCTTAAATGCTCCTTATTTTGTAAGCTTCTGACATATTACGGAAATCATTTTCAGATGCCATGTGGGTATGAGTTACTTTATTTAGCTTTAAAGGTATTTCTCCTGCCTTCCTAGCGTGCCTTCGTGGTGTAGTGGTCAGCATACTGAGCCGGTATTTCAGAGGTCCGTGGTTCGATTCCCGGCGAAGGCGTTGCTAATTTTTCATCTCTTCTGCTTCCAAAAATTACCTAATGTATCTACATTGGCGCCCGAACTGAAAGTGTTGTCACCACATCCACACCCAGGATTTGGCGTTTGAGTTCCCTAAAAACCCCAGTCGCTCTTTAAAAAGGGGGAGTATGTAAGGTATTTCTCCTGCCTTCCTAGCGTGCCTTCTTGGTGTAGTGGTCAGCACACTGAGTCGGTATTTCAGAGATCAGTGGTTCGATTCCCGGCAAAGGCGTTGCTAATTTTTCATCTCTTCTGCTTCCAAAAGTTACCTAATGTGTCTACAAGCTAATTTCATAAGATAATAATAAGAATAGTTCATAAAATATATTCGTATTTTTCATCATTATATTTAATACAACTATGAAAAGCGAATTTTGCTCAGATGACAGAAAAAACGAATAAAACCCTTTAACCATTTTCGTTATCTTTCTTCAGCATTCGTAAAGTAATTGCTCAGTTATTTATTCTAATTAAATTGATCGACCTTACCTGTTGAAGATACTCATCAAATTTTTTTGAATTACATAAAAGAAAATACATCATCTAAGCCTTATTTAATTACAACACTTCTTTCCTTATTTAATTATAATAAATAACAAAATAACACTTTTTTTTTCTTTTTCTGTTCAGTAATTAACAGCAACTTTGATAAAATCAATACTCTTCTCTGAGTATGTTGGATTAAAAGAGGTTACAGGGATTATTGCTAGATGGATTAAAAAATGTGGATTAAAAAATAATCTAATGTGCACACTATATGACTTAATTGCATGGCCCATTAAATTATACATATTTTTTACTGCATTTTATTTAAACTTATTTCCTAGAATTCCAGAGATATATTTCTCATTCAATTAATTCAGCTCTCACTTCCCGGCAAAGCAAAAACACATAAAAACTTAAAATATCTTCAAGGGGTATCAGTAATCCCTATACCGACAATGTTAAATTGGTCATTTTCGATGTACCTTCTCTCAAAATCTGCTATAGGTACAAGCTTGAAATTTTTTGTGTGATTAAAGTACACCTATCTGATTATACCGAAATGAGCTTTTGAAAGATTTTGTATTTTAGAGTAATTTACAGAATATTTTGTTAGACATAGTAAAATTTAACACTTTTCTCATACAAAAAAATACGGTACTTTTCCGTTTCGTCGGCGCAAATCTCGCCAAGTAGACTTTATTGACGACAACATACAGTATGCACATAAAAAATATTAAAAAAATGTTAGTTCTAAGAATTCTTTTTTTGAAGGCATAAACATTTTAATAAGACATTAATTTAAGAATTTATTATGCTTTCATGGTTCAACATCCTGATTCGCCGGTTCGCATCACGTGATCCCAAGCGATCTCATCTCACATAAACTACTCTACAAAAATCTAATGCTCTCAGTAATTATCTACATTAATTTCGAGTTAAATCTTAATTGGAACACAAGTTTAAGTGCAAGAAATATTTCAATTTCGTACGAATAGCTTACTCAGAAATTATGTAAAACTGCAGTGCTTTACTTCGCTAATGCATTCTCATTAGAATTGATGAATTTAACCCTTGACTTTACGTTTTCTATATTTTCGGCTTCGGGTAAGCGCTGTGATTGCATCCTTATTGACTTAATTACCGAAAGTGGCCTTAGACATAAAACTGAACTATCTGATAAAAATTATATGTAATTATATGCCAGTATTGAAAGAAACAATCAATCTGATAAGAAAAAGCTGCGACTTGTTTTGAAAATGAGGCGTAAAAGGTTACCAGAGAGAATAATCCATTTGGCATCGGTTGTACCATTATTGGCGACTTCATCGCTTGCGCCGGCAAAACGGAAAAGTACCAAAAAATAATTAAGACACAATAACACGCCGAATAAATACTAATTCAGAAGTCAAACAACAAAAATCAGCGTTAATTTACAAAAATTTTTTGTAAATTAACGCTGATTTTTGTTGTTTGACTTCTGAATTAGTACCAAAAAATACTTAAAAATTTTTTTCGTAGTTTATCACAAAAAGTTCATTTCAGTAAATATTAGGAAACCTAATAAATAATCCATAAAAATTTTGGATACCTGTGAGTAGTAGTTCCTGAGAAAAGGCACATCGAGCATAAAAATATGACGTTTGGAGAAAACCTCGTTCTTGATGTAATAAATCCTCATTGATCAAAAGCAGTCGATAAGACAAATTTAAAACTAGATTTTTTACAGATCTAATTTTCATAGAGATTAAAGAATGGTGGTTTTAGAAAGATAAAAGTGTAGAGAATCTGAAAATGCAAAAAACTGAAATCACCATTTTTTTTTTGAAGATTTTTGAGTTCTAACAAAATAGTAAACTAGCAGTGTACTGTTATAGCAGTCCCATATACAAAAATTCAACGTTATACGGCTCTTCGTTCTTGGGTAATGGGAGATACATGCATACGTAGGTACGTACATACGGGAGAGGTTAAGAAAGCATTTTTTTAAATCTATTTTAAGGGGCTCATACACCTTAAAAAGACCACCAGCGGCCGAGCGGTAAATTCGCTGAACACTGGTAGTTCGGTGCGAAGTTCGAATCCCGCGAACGGGCTGGCTGCATGGGCGTTTTCGTGGTTTTTCCCATGTGTAACGTGTATATACGAGCCAGTTTCCCTTAGAAAGTCCTCCACGAAGGCATCCCTTCCCTTAGGCAGATACCTCTAGTGTGCTTTGCCATAATTAAAATAAACCAAACCAAACCATACACCTTAAAACCCATAAGATCTTCGAATATATGACTCTTGCAAGAATTGGGATAACTTATTTATTTTAAAAGCAATTACTTCCAACTTCCAACTTTTTACTGCTGACTACATAATGTAGCTGCCTTCTGAAATAGTAATCAGAAAGTTTGTGTTGCCACAAATATTTTTATAATTTAATCCGCTTTGAGACAAAAACTTTCGTCATATGTTTCCACCTTTGCGCGCACAGTTTAAAACATTCTGTTGCATAATTTAATTCCATATATTATATATATAGTTTTTTATAACATTTGGAAACTACTGTGAACCAAAAAGTCTAAGAATTTCATGTTAAATTTTTATTTAATTTGGAGTTTAGTTTATAAATTGTATTTTATTAAAAAATATAATGTTTTCGTCTATAATTTTTTTTAAATATTCATCAGAGTTTTGGTTTAGTTAGAAAATAGTGCCCATATAAAAAATTCCATCCAATTTCAAGTATGTACTATTAGCCATTTTTAAAATATCATGCGCGTAAGGTGGAAACATGACGAAACATTTTGTCACAAAGCGGATTAAATTTCAAAAATATTTGTTTCAACACAAACGTTTTGGTTACTAGTTTCCGAAGCAGTTATATTATGTAGTCAGCTGTAAAAAGTTAGAACCAATTACTTTTAAAGTAAATAAAATATCCTAATTCTTTCAACAGTCACATATTCGAAGATCATAAGGGGTTTAATGTACATGAGGCTCCTTAAATCCAATTTACAATCCTTTTTGGCAAAAGCAGTCCGTTATTCTGTCCGTACGCACAGATGTAACACAAAACATCATTCAGATGGTTTCGTGGGCAGGTAAAATGGATATTTTCGTTGAAATACGATACACGTATTTTTTCGCGATTATAATACTTTCTTTACTTTGCACAAGGAAGTAAAAATACAGAAGGGCTTTTAAATAATTCTTACAGTTTTCTGTCACAAAATGGTTATTAAGTTTGTATAAATATATCATTAAATTTTTTGGTTATTAATAGCTCAGAAGGTTTTTGGTTATTAATAGCTCAAAATGCAAAATTTTCAGAATTTAATTTAATTTAATTTTAATTTGAAATTTCTGCAGTTTCTAATAATTTTTTTTTACTGTTTTTCTATCGGGACGGTATTCGGAAATGCATGTATGTATGTATGTATAGATGCGTGTGTTTATGTATTCATGCATAATGTAAGTACGAATGTATGTGTGCGTATATGTATACATATGTATATGTGTATGTATACACATATACATATACACGTGCATACATTCATACATTTATGAATCCGGTCCCGGTAACAGAACATTATTCAATTTTTATAAAAGTTTGTAACTTACAGTTTCTATTTTTCGTCTCTAAAGTTCTTGGAAAATGGCTAATGACAAAAGAAATAATGACATGTGCCTTTGCGCTCTGTGCAGTTGTGGAGAACACCGGTGTCCAGAACAGGAAGAAAAACTGTTGCCACGTTCCCTGCAAAAAATAGAAGATTCCGATGCAGAGAAACTTCAGAAGATTCAGGAAAAAAAAGCACGGATATGTCATGTATGATAATTCCTGAAATTTATCCATTATTTTCAATTTTAATAAATGAAAACACATTGAAGATTTGTTAGAGTACCTTATAAAGGCGTAATATTAAATTATACACGGAAAAGAATACGATTAAATGAATTTCTTCCTTTCTAAACAACAGAAATGAGCTCTAATTTAAAGTCTGAAATATTTCAAATTTGTGAACTTTTGGAGTCAATACTACTTTATAATCATTTTTTCTTACGATTTGTTTAAATAATAATGTAATAAATTAATAATGCTTTCATTTTTAGACTTAATTACAAAGACGGAAAAAATGATCTACATAAAGTTCCATATTTTCCACGTAAACTACGGGAAAAAAAAAAAAAAAAAATCTGAAATGTTTCAGGTCTTAAATTACGTCCAAAGGGGCGTTTTTTTAACGTTTTGAGTGTTTACCTTTATTTATTAAATATCATGTTCTTTGCACTTAAAAAAACCATAAAATTCAGTTCAAGAGCAATATCGCAAAATAATGTTAAATTAAGCATATCTTTAGAATTTCCGATATACACAGTCTCTCGCGAACTGGAGATAAAAGTATTTTTTTTTCTATATAACGTTGCCCTTTCTCGCTTTTAAAGCATTGAGTTTGTAAAATCAAAAATTCGTTAAAGTTTTACAAAATATAAAATCTATAATAAAACAAATTCCAAATTTCAAATTTGGGACTTTCAGATGCCCATATTCGCAGTAGGATTACGTCTTTCGAAATTCGATGGCTCTATGTACCATTGTTTTATCACAATGCGATAAATATGCACATCATTTATGCAGATTTTTCATTATTTAATTTCTTCAAATATAACGCAGGACTCTAATATTTGGTGGAAACAGTTTGAAAAGTGAAACGGACCAACCGACGCAAAAATTATGAGTCCGACGCAAAATCGCAAAACGAAAACAATAGTCCTTCCGGGACAAAGCCCCTTTGGACTAAAAAAAAAACAAAAGGGGGGGGGGTAGTTCTATAACTCCCGTTCTACTGTGCCGATTGACGAAATTCAAATCGAGTTTTTTATGTCTCGAAAGCGCGAATTAGTAGAATATGTATTCGATTTATGTATAGCGTTGTTCTAATATAGGTATTTCGACACAAAATCGGACTTTTTCTGAAATGACATGCCAAATTTTTTAAATATTCCGATTCTACGACTTAAATTACCAGGTTTTGTCAAAATCGCGCGAGTAGTTTTTAAAAAATTAGCTCCTCCATATTACTTGAATTTAGTATATATTTGTTAATATCTCTTTTTAAATTAAATTATTTGATTCTTGCTTTCAAATTTAGAAATTTAGGTTTATTCCAAATAAAACTGGCCCATTTTTTGATTTATTTAAAAAATTTTTACTTTTAAATAATTTTGAATTATAACCTATAAATTTTTTATCATCATCTTAAAGTAAATGTGTCAACGCACGTGGTGTAACATAGACCCCGGCGTCATTGGTCGTCTCTTTGCTGCCTACCAGTTACACAGGCTGCCCGTCGGCCAAGGACATTACCCAGATCACCCGGGGCGCCAACCCCAGGCAGAGCCCGGGACGCCACCATGGCCTACTAGAGCTTTGCGCTCTAGGACTTACCAGTCCCACGGTCAGACGAATCAGTGATCTTTCCGGGGTCTTTAGAAACACTAGGATCATGATTTGTATACCGCGTGGCCGAGACTGCCTAGGCACAGATCTTAGCCAATAGCTTCTCAGAGTTCTCTACGTCAACCCCCCCCCCCCGGGGGAGTGGCCACAGATGTCAAATGAAATAAAAATGAATGTTTAATCTTACTCGGCTGCCAAGTTTCTTAGTCATTATGGATTCAACATTTTAGCATTATACCCAATCAGAATTTTTGCTCTTCAACATGGATCTACGTTCTACGCCATCAACATTGCTAGTCTTTTTCTGTTTTTATTACGTTTGAGTCGACAGGATAAGCTATAATTTGGAACTGTAATGTGGAAGTCTTAACCGTAAATAGTCAGTTTATAAATAATTAATAATTAGAATTACAAAATTTATTTTAGGTATCTCACGAAAGCTGAAATTTTACTTGTACACATATATAATGTATATTATAATTCCGATGGTCATTCTTGGGTTTCACACTCAATTTTCGGACAGCAAGCTTCCAAGTACATACCTAATTCATTCTGCAGAAACCTCAGGAAAACTCATTCTGCAAGACGAGGGAAAAAAAAAATTTTTTTTTCAATTTTATACAAAGCTTAATCTAATTTATAACCATAATCAGTAACCCACATGCCCTCGTATTCTAAGTGCAGCTGGATTAATTTAATTATATTCCTACTGCATTCTTTATGTGTCCATCTTTCAAGAAAAAATTCGATAAAGAATGCAAATTAAACAAATGGCGCTCGGAGAAAATGTTTTCCATTTAAGTAAATGAAAATTAACTCCAAAAATTATTTCACTTTGGTGCAAATTTTATGACTAACACCAGAGTTTCTTTTTTTTTCTTTCATACGGATGAGACAGTTTTCGTTTTTATTAATAGAAATAACTTCATACATTAAAACATTTAAATAAGTAAATAAATTTATTTCTGAAGAGAAAAAGTTTGTTCAAACTCTTAAAAGTAATGACGTATATTTTTAAAGGGATTTAATGAATATTTTGTGGACTTTTCTTTGTTATATCTGTGTAAAGTTTAAAACATTTACATATCTTTTAGCGGCAAGGTCATTGTAAAATTCCGTTTGGTTTGTGTTAAGTCCAACAAACAGTTATCCAGTTAATACGACGTTTGCTTTCCCATCATTACGAAATGCCTTAATTTAATTACTCTTTGCGCAGATTTGTTTGTATCATCAGAGTGCAAAAGGTTGAGTCTTTTTATCGCTTTTATGTTAAGATGTCTCTTATAAAATTTTTGAAAATAAAATAAAAATGAAAAAAAAAAAAAAAAAAAAAAAAAAAAAGAAAAAAGTTAAATTTAATAAAGAATAGATATTGCTTTCAAATATTTTTAATTTCTGCAAGGTATTTTAAATATTTTATTGAGGAAAGTTATTTTCTTGAAAAAAATGAATAGAAATTATATTACCAATAGAAGTAAATAAATGCTCGGTTTGTCAGTAAGTGTTTTTGAATCATCTAAGACGTTTCAAGACATGCGGAGGTTTATAGACAAAGTGATTAATGTATTGTTGTGTGCGTATGGGTTCGTAATGGATTGAATGCACAAGTCGATAAAAAAAGTTAAAAAGATTTATTCTTATCCCAAGAAATAAAACAAAATGCTGAAATTTCCTCAAAGATATTCGTACAATATCTCACAGTAGTTATACACTGCTCGACATTGAAAATGCAACACCAAGAAGGAAAAAAGTGAAGAAGGAAAAAAAGAAGGAGAAGGAAAAAAAGAAGGAGTGGTCAGAAAGTGATGAAATTTGGAAAAAAGACAGAGACAGCAATAAGTGATCTTTATTTCGAAATGATTAGTCAGAATACATATCGAGAACGGCGTCGGCTCAGTAGGATAGATAGTTGATAGTTGATGGGGGACGTGTGCACCATCCCTTTACCGTAATGGTTAATTGGCATATGCAACACGTCCACCTCTATCTTGAGCCAGATGGGCCACACAGGCGCCTCGCACTATACACCGAAACCCAGCGACCAGGCCATTCAGGTGGCAGTCCAAAAGACCAAAGAAGCCCCCAGAAGCATGTTCACACCAACCGCCCGGGCCTAGTATTTATTGAGTCAAAGTTCAACAAATACATGGCCAAACAAGGGCTCAAAAAATAAATAAAATAGATAAATAAAGGGTAGACCACCGCGGACAGCGATGCACGAAGAAATACGTCTAGGCATAGAGTCAATAAGAGTGTGGATGGTGTCCTGAGGTATGGCTCTCCATTCCCTTTCAACCATTTGCCACAGTTCGTCTTCTGAACGAGGCAGGGGCAAACGGCGTACAATCGCATCCCACACTTGTTTGATTGGTGACAGGTCAGAAGAGTACGGTGGCCAGGGAAGCATCTGTATACCTTGCAGAGCACGTTTGTAGATACGAGCACTGTGTGGTCGGGCGTTATCCTGCTGAAAAATTGCATTAGGCAGCTCCTGAAGGTAGGGGATTGCCACCGGCCACAGTACATTATCCAAGTATCGTTGAGCCGTCATAGTGCCCTAAATGCGAACTAGAGGTGACCTGGAATCGTAGGCAAATAGCGCCCCAAAACATTACGCCATGTTGTCGCGCGGTGGGGCGTTCCACCGGCGTTACTGCCGGATTAGATCTGTCTCCACGTTGACGCCACACACGTACGCGGCGACTGTCACTGGATAAACAGAAGCGTGACTCATCTGAGAACACGACGTTTCGCCATTCTGTCATCCACATCGCTCCAGTCCGTCACCATTCTAAACGTTGGCGTCTATGCTGTGGGGTCAATGGCAGTCTTCTTAACGGACGCCGTGAGTGCAGGCCACGTTCAACCAATCGACGGGAAATGGTTCTGGTCGACACGGGAACATCCAGGGTATCTTGCACATGCTGCAGAATCGCTGTACAAGTGACTTGCGTGACCAGCGTCGATCCACGCGTGCTGACGTCACTCTGGCGGCACCTGCACCTCTTCTTCTTCCCACATTTCCTTGTTCCAACCATGTTCGCCATAGCTGATGCACGTGCTCGCATCCATGTGGGTATCAGCTACGATTTCACGTCAGGACCAAACCGCCCTTCTCAGTCTGATCACCATACCCTTCGTAAAATCGTCTACCTGCTGGGTGTGCCTTCGTCGACGGCGGCCTGGCATTCTCTCCTATTACACGTATCCTCCGGGACAAAAACCAACGTTCTTCGATAATTCGTCTGGCGGAAATAACGACACGAATATTGTCCATTCTGCACGTTTCTTTCCTTATATCTTACTTCACGTGCGTCGGAAAGCTGCGCATTTCACATCATTCGCATAACTCAGTGACGTGCGTCTGC